ATAAAAGTAAGACATTTCTGCTGAAAATTCTTACATTGTACACATACAGGCCAGATAGCAATCTACAACACATATATTAACAATATAAACCCTTATATTTGATGTTTCTTTTTACACTATAGTGGACAATGAAATGCTACATTATAACAGGTAAAACACATGGAGAGATTCATCACTGAAAACAGATATGTAGCCATTCATTGTGTGGCTCCCCTTAAATTTCAGAAACAAAATAACCAAGTCATCGGCCAATCAACTCAGCAGCACTAAAGTCATGCTAGTAGCAGTGTTGGACACAGTGGTGCTTTGAGCAACATGCTTACGTGATAACACTAACATGACAATGATCTTAGTTTAGCATATTAGCATGCTAACATTTGAGCCTGAAAATGACATGTATGTTTGAACAAACTTTAATGGTGATTCATCAAATGACATTTCATTCTGGATCTAGTTCTGCAGGAATGAGTCCTAAAACTTGGAAATTGTAATGTTTTTTCGTTAGATGTGTGGAATAAGATATGTGAACATAAGATGAAGAGATTTTGTCTTACCCCTCTTGTGAATTTAGATTTTTATGTGTCTTAAAAAAGGTGGTTGCTATTGTCAGCTGACTATAACTACAACAGAATTAATATTAAAATTTGATGACGGCAATACGATAATTTGAACAGATATTGCTGCTGAGCTGCAGATAAAATCATTATTTTCCATCACAACATCAGCAGACACAGTGAATCAAGATACGGGTTGAGCACAGCGGCTGTGCTGTGAGGACGGCTACACTGACATTTAAAATGACTGACAGAGAAAGATAAGAGCATCAAAAGGCTACCTTATTTCAGTACAGCCAAAAAACATCTGTGACTATCAAAATGACATGTATTTATGTTTGTAAAACAGGGAAGAACACTCTAACTCAGATCAAGGGATTCATCAGGACCGGGATGTGTTTGTATAAAGTTCCATGGGATTTCATCAAATATGTGTAATGATATTTCAGTCCAGACCAAAGCGATAGATGGACTAGTATTAGATAGCTAAAATGGTACAGAAATGAAGAAAGTAGGTCTGGGGTAAAGTTTTTTAATTATCAGGAAGCCCAGCGATAGTCTGGCGACCTGTCCAGGGTGAATCCTGCCTTCGCCCAATGTCAGCTGGGAATCGGCTCCAGTCCCCTCACGTCCCTGAACAGGATAAGCGGTTAAAAGATAATGGATGGATGACTTAAACGAGTTGGAATACCCAGTTTGAAGATGCTTCATGATCTTGAAAATAGAGGGCAAAAGAACCTCAAAATTCACAGTAATTTGCTTTCAGTTTGCATTAGTGTGAACATCCATAAAGCTTTCTTTGAACATGTGTAAACAGGACTACACCCAGTAGTGGACTTCACAATGACCCGGTCTTTTTTTAGCACTGAGACTGTCTTGCTGTGCTAACTGGTAGTGTCTAGCCACTTGAGTGTGGACCGGTAAATGCTGTGCTTCAACATGTGTCGGTCCCCACGGGAGCATCGATTCGGCCTGTTTTATGAATAGAATGCTTTGTTCCACAGTATTTCCACTTCCATCCCCCCAGAGCAAAATAGGTGACAATCAATACTTTATGCAAACAGAGACATCTTGTATTGAACATCAAATAAGAGCAAAAAAACAGTGTTTGTCAAGAGAGCTTTTCCAGCCATGAGCAATCTGAGGCTGAAGTTGCAGAAATATAGAGGTGGGCAAACTCACTTATTAAAATGAAATGAATACACTTTCTTCTGATTTTTGTTTACAACAGAAATAGGCTTTTTTTGTTCAAGCTTATCATTATGAACTAAATGTTGATTGCACCATGTGATGGCTGTAGAATAGTGACAGCATTGGTTTTTCGATTGGTTCCCTTTTAGCTTCACTTTCACTACAGAATTATCTCTTCCTCTGGGTCGCGATCTCCAGCGAAAATGCAGGCTCCACTTATTGCACAAAGGAAGAGCAAAGCGCTTGAGTTGTACCTATACTTATGGAGGTATTAATAATAACACAAAGGCTCTGTAGTCTGAACCAGGACTGAAAACTCTTCATTGCTTCCCACATTGTCAACGGCAGCACATTACAGCTGCAGGAACAACAGAAGTAATGCATTAACTGGGAGACAAAGAATGCGAAGAGGAGGAGTAATCAAAACTGTTGTTTTTACTGAGCTAGATTATTAAATAACAAAACCTGCCTACTTATAAATACTACAAGGTGTTGTACTCTGCCTTTATCAAAGCAGTGAGATTTCTTGCTTTTGATGGTAGCCTGGCTGCTAGCCTGGCTACCATCAGGGAGATTACTGTCATGATGTTGAGACAATTTAAACAAATAGAAAGCAAAAGGGTTATAAAATACATTACATACTCCAGCTTTAAATATATCTTGTTGAATATGTGACATCATACATGCAAATTCCTATTTTGATAAAAGAGTTTCCAGTGAGAAGCGCAATGGATTTATGTCTAAAATGCTCCTTACTCTGATCATAATTGGTTCTGTACTGTGAAGTAAAGGGAAAGTCAGCTCAAATCCTATTGTCACACATTGGAAATGTACTCATAGTTAAACATAAATACATCAATGTCTTCCTTCTGAGGCTTGGTGAAATATTGAGTGAAATCCTGTTCAGTACGTTTATATGGGGGATTCAAAATTTGAATGGAATTTACATGACACCATTAGCTAGATCACTTCTGGAGGAGTTGTTGAACTACAAATACATCCAGTCCACTGGTTGTAGAGTTGTTACAGAGCGATGTTTCTCTTCCATCACAAATCAACTTTGGCTAAGACGACGTCCTTTTGAGAGCAGTACAAGACAACTGCCAAAAAGTGTCAACAAAATAATCTACAGCTGATCTACCAGTCCTTTTTAACTGGCAAGTTCAGTGACACCTCAAAATGACTAGCCTGCTACTTGAATGTTCTCTATTTTAAATTTTTACTTAAAATATTCAGAAAAGATAAATTGTTCTATAAGAGAGTATTTAGCTGCAAAGATAAAAGCCAGATGTTGGGCCAACCAGTAACATAATCAAAATTAGAAAAAGTAATCAAAATCCAACTCTAATCTTAAAAGACATGTATCAACAATGTAGTAATTCCTGTTGTAAGTACCCAGGCATTTACTCTTTGTACTCATACCTACAAAAAGTAATGCACTGAAACTCTTAAATAACCCACGTAATTATGAGCCAGGACATTCAGGGTGGCCTCTGCGGAGATAAAGAGTGACAAAGTCAGGTCTCGGGGGAGGGACCAACCTGGTCTAACTCCCATCTACACTGCCATCATTGAGTCCATCCTCTGCTCCTCCATCATGGTCTGGTACGCTGCAGCCACTGCCAAGGACAAGGGCAGACTGCAGCGCATCATTCGCTCTGCCGAGAGGGTGATAAGCTGCAATCTGCCGTCCCTCCAAGACTTGTTCGCTTCAAGGACCCTGAAGCGAGCAAGAAAGATTGTAGCTGACCCCTCTCACCCTGGACATAAACAGTCCGAGCCCCTTCCATCTGGCAGGAGGCTGCGGTCCATCAGCACCAAGACCTCACGCCACATGAACAGTTTTTTCCCTTCTACAGTTGGGTTCATCAACAAAGCCCGGGACCCCTACTGACTCTGACATCCCCAGTCACTCTCCTGCACATCCCTTCTGTTTCTTTATTTAAATACACCTGACACTTTTACATACACTTACCTCTTACTCGTTTATAGTACTGTTATCTGTTTGTTAGTGCACTTTATTTTGTTTTATTGTAAACATTAATATGCTTATATTTTTTGCACTGTGTTGATTGTTTAATGTTATACACTACCCGCCATGTCAAATTCCTTGTATGAGCAACATACCTTGGCAAATAAACGGTTCTGATTCTGATTTGTGTTAAGTAACTCAACTTGAGATTTCAACTAACTGAGATGTGAACCAATCTACATCATTATTAGACCTTCAGAGTGTTTGTCGGAGTGTAAATTGTGACAAGTCAGTGTACCGAAGGTGTGAGGGAGAGATGGTTCATACAAACACAGGACTTTCGCCCAGGAGACCGTTATTTGTCCCGTGAGAAACGGCGATTCATTTAGTCATTTTTTACCTAACTTCCTGACTTTACTAACGTCAGTTATTTAACTGTATGTTTGCTGTAAAGAAACCAAGTCACTTTGACTTATTTACTTAACTTGTGTAATGTAACTTACATACTTTACTAACACCACGTATATAATTAAGTGGCAAACATACTTGAAACTAAAGCGCAACCTTTTCCCCAAACCCAACCACCTAGTTTTGTTGCCTGAACAGGTTCTGCATTCCGGGGGCTTCTGCAGGCGAACCGATTGTTCTTATTGCTGGACAATAACAAATAACTTTTTGTAAGATATAAGAATCATTGTTTGAGCATGTGTAAAAAATATAAAACTAATACTTGTAATGAATGCTGGGCACTAAGTGGATCGAAAGATGAACAATTGCACCACAAGCAGAGCAGAAACAACCATATGTTGTTACTTTTGAAGAAAACAATGCAGAATATTCTCTGAGTCCAGCTTGTGTTTTAATGTTTTTCACTCATCAAAGTAAACTGAATATTGTTGGGATTTGGAAAACAAAACAAGACATTTGACACAATCACCTGGGGCACTGAACAATTTTCACTGTTTTTAATGACGCTTTAAAGACTAAACAATTGACTGAGTTATTGAACAAATATAATTGGTAGATCAATTGATAATGAAAATAATCATGAGTTTCAGTCCGACACCACACAATGTGTGATTTTACTGATTACACCAACAGACCCAGACTGGAACTGACCAAGTCATCACGCTCAAATCATATTTATGTTAACAATGAACAGTAAGTGGGGATCCAAGGTGTCATACATTTGCAAACTACTGTATTGGTCCGATCCTACAAGCTAATCACTAATATGGGACTGGCAGGGGTTGCAGTGCTGTATTGTGGATGACGGTTCTTACCTCGGTGGTGGTCTCATTTTCTTGCTGAAACAGCAATTATGACGATGAGGACGATGAGGACGATGGCTCCGGCCACCAGGAGGTAGCACTTCCTCTTCCTCAGCTGCCTCTGTGGGGAAAAAGGGTGGAGTTCAGGCATTAGACAGTAGCCTATTGGACACTGCACACCGTCTGCTGTGTAAGTCAAGCAGTAATGATGCAGCTTTGCATGGTTTTGCCATCAAATGCTCCCTGCTGGTGGTTCACACAGCACAGCAGTGATTTATCCAGTGATTTGTCAGTTCATGAGAGCTAAACATATACAGCTCGAAACCCACATGTTTGCATACAATGCATTTGCAGTCCTGCAAATGCCAAGTTCCGGTTTAATAACCGCAGAGCCGCGGCCCTATTTTGTTGTTTTTGAGCTAATTTAATGCAACCCCATGGCACGCCTTTAGCATGAACAAAAAAAAGAACAAAAAAGAGCAGATATCTTTAAAGGTAAAAGGAAAGAAGGAGGAAAGTGGCATTTCAACCGGATAAGATTAACACAATTATGGAGGAACTGGAAGATTCAAGGTCACACTGACAAATACAGATAGAATGCATGAAAGACTGAATGGGATGACTGTCCAGGGGTGGCCTACACTTCCCTCCATCAAAATGCTGTGCAGATATCCCTGTGATGGCTCTGCTGCACATTATTCTTGTCTGCGTGATGGCACCCTTACTGTCTGAGAGGAGGACAAAGAGGAGGCAAACGACTGGCAGATGTAGAAAATGAAATCATTTTCTTCTCCTGTATGTATCTATTCAGCCCATCTAGAGCCGTCAATTAACAAGCTTGTTCAGTTCATGGGTCGTTGCGACTTCAAATGTTAAGATTGAAAAAAAATTGTCAAGAAAAGCTACAACAAAATGGTGACTCGGTGAAGCAGATTTATCACCTCAAAGCATTGACTTCAACAAGACATCGTGAGAATATGCTCAACATGGGTTTTAGTCTTAAAATGCTTTTAAAAAATGTGACTGAGAACTGTTAACTACGTAATCCACCATGTGTCTTACATGTCTGCATTGTAATTGCAAAGTATTTGACTTTATGCATTGTACATTGCACATTTTCTTCTTCTTTATTAATTGATAGGGAAATGTAATTAGGTTTTTTATATATATTATTATTATTTTTACTTCATACATTGCATATTTTACAATATTTTTAATTGACTGTACAGGATAAGGTGTCTTCCTCCAGGACTGTTGGTCATGAGGAAAATGTACGAAACCGTCAACCCAAAGCCAAGGTACTGAACTGTGACTTTCACCGTTCCACCACATAGTTGCTTTCCCGATACAAATTGTACGCTTTTATTAATTTTTTAAATATTAAGGTTGTACATTATATATATAAATATATATTTAACATGCTTTTTATAATAGTATAATAGCATATACAAATCGACTTCACAGAACGTGCTCAGGAACAGGTAAAACCACACGATGTCATAGTCACTTGCATGCCATCAATTATTCTCACGTTGAGTGCTTGTGGCTATTGAATGGATTTCAATGCTGTGTTCTGTTTCATTTTCTAATATCGCCTGTGGTCAAATTTAGATTTCAAATGCTTCAAACATTTCCTCCACACAGCACATGAGCTTTATTCATCCATGTCAATTACTTGCCATGTCGGAAAAAAAAGAGAGAAAGTGTTCACTGTGGAAAGCAAAAATATGAAAGTAAATAGAGTGAAGAGAACGGGTTTGGGAATATGTCCTTGTCTCCTCAGGCAGTGACGCTGTGTTTGAGCACAGAATCGATGTTATTTTGAAATGCTTTTTCTCCCGTGTATTTTTCCCAGCCTGTTTTCTGCTACAAAGGCAACGAGAGCAGCAGCTTCAGACCAGAGCCGAGGCTGGAGTCTTTAAATCCTGACGCGCTTCAAAGCACGGAGAGAGCAATTCATCTTCTTATCTGAGACTCAAAACAGGCTTTCTGTGCGGAAGAGAGAGGCAGAGAGGGAGAGGGGGAGAGGGGAAAAAAATGCTGTCGAGTAATTTTCCGTTTAAACGTTCCACTCCACAACAATTTGCATAAGCAGCCCTGCGTCTGTGATAAGAAGATTGGTAATTTTCAAAGGCTCTGTGGGGATTGAGAATTAAAAGCCTTTCTCCGCTATCTCCCCTCTTGCAGCTGGCCACCGCAGATTCCCCAGCTTCTCTCACGCGTTTCCTCCTAAACTATGCCTTATAAACTTTCTCTGCCATCCTCTCCTTCTCTCTGCTCGCTCTGACAGTGCTGAGTCGCTCCCTCTCTCTATATACTGTATTCCCTCCCTCCCTCTCTCTTTCCCTTCCTTTTCTCTTCCTCCCGCTTGCTCATCCTGGCACTGCTGTTATTTGGGGGAGAACAAGGAAATAAATAAGGTGGAGGGGGGAACAAAAACTGGCTTAGTGTAACAAAAGAACTGTTGCAGTATTTTTAAACCAGAATTTTCCAGACTCAGGGCAGGCTGAGAGGTGGGACAGGGAGACTCGTAGAGAGAGAGAGAGACGGGAGGATGCTCTCATCACCACTGACTTAATCTGCCAGAGAACGGTATCTCAGCACTTCAGGGCCAATGGCTGCTGCAAGCCCACAGGGAGAGACAGCACCTGTTTCATTCACTTTTTATTTCTAATACCAGAGGAATAGTTCATATTTAAACTGGCTAAGAATCTGTTTTTTATTGATATCTGATCATATAAAATGTGTTTAAAATTAGACTTAAAGTAGACTGAACTATGAAGCTATAGACAGTATCTTAAATCATGATTTTGATGGCAAAACAAATAACTAATATATAGTAAATATAGGAGCACATCCTTTGGTTAAATGCAACAACCAAACCCATCCTTCTGTCCAATGGGACTGTACCTAACTTAAAAGGAGGACAACAGAAACATGTTAGCCACAACAGATTGATAAAATCACCAACCTTCAGCAGCTTTGGGTTAACTTGTTCACCTTGCCTCTGTGGAGCTTTTTAACCATATCAGTGACGTTTGTTAGGGATTCCCTCGAGTCCTCTATCACAACCAATCAGTCTTGTAGTCAAGACCACCAAAACAGAGACCAGGTCCTGACCAAGACCAGAGTTTATCGAGACCGAGACAAGACTTTGAGGGGTTGAGACCCTGTCAAGACCAAGATCAGACTCGTTAACACTGCATGACACACTTACGATAAAATGCAAATGCACATGCAGACCAACGCACTGCTCAAATTAACCTGAAAGATCCATTTTCCCATAACACACTCAGAGAAGAGAAATTTGGCAGGAAATGATTTAAATGTAAGTTTTTCATTTGCTTGCTATTTGCAATATCACGTTAGTAATATTCCTGCAATTTCTCTGATACCGTTATTATTTCCTAGGAGGAGAATGATTCTCCATAGTGACCATACCAAAATGTTTGGGGGAATCGGGTGCAGCTAGGCATCCAAGTATAGAAGGATAGCCTGATCGTCTCTGGTGTAGTGTTCGTTTTTTCACACAGAAGACTTGCTTTTAACAGCTTAACTTTCAAATAAATCTCACACGTCCATATGAAGGTCAGCAGTGGACAGAGAAAAGAGGAGGTAGAGAGGAGGAGAGCATAAATGACTTGTTCGCCTTTTTATTTTTCGATATGGCTGCAGCTCTCTGAGAATTTTAAAAACCATAACTCATTATAAACACGTGTATTTCTCTAAGGGAGGATGCAGAAACATGCATTATGAGCGTTAAAGCTCTCAGGACTGCCTTACAAACCTATCTATCTCCTATCCTCCTCCCTTACATGGAAGACAGAATTGCTGTGTCTCTGGGAGAAAAACTGCATACCCTATGTGACATGAGAAATACCCTCATAATACTACGATAATGCAATGCAATGATAATGGCCATAACATTATTTTTCCTTTATCGCATCTGGTCGGGAAAATTGGAAGTCCATAAAATAAATAATGTTTACAGCAGAACTGCCTCACTTGTAATCGGCTTATATGCAATTTACATAAAACTCAGAGTCCCATGCAGTCACCCTGATTATGATATTTAAGAGGAGCAGCAAGTAAACACAGACTTCACGGCCAATCTTGGACGAAGCCCTGTGACAACCATTGTCAATAATGGAACAACTCTCACCAGCATCAGCATTTTATGGGCTTTTATTAAAGATTGATTGGCCTTTTGTTAAAGACAGCATGTCAGCCAGTCATTTTGTCATGTCATGTCATGTCTGACACGGTTTACGCTTGTCTCTGACCTGAGCAAAATACAGACAACTCAGACAGAACAGTCATGTCAGACCCTGCTGACCTACAAACCAAACGACCATGACGCGTTCACAATCTTGGCAACACAAGTGAGGAAAGTTATTGAAAGCTTGAAGGGACCTATTGGGACATTCAAAAGATGTTCAAAAGTAGAAAGTATGAAAATTAATAGATAAACCTGGATGCAATGCCAGCATCCAGAAACTGAAACATCTTAGATTGCCTCTCTTCCAATGTGGACTCTGGACACTATTAGCAACCACAGATGTGTACACACTGCTGCACTGCAGGTTGTCACGATACCAAAATTGTGACTTTGATACACTACCTAAATGTATTGACCATGGCAAAAAACGAAAACATAATATTAGAATATAGAACATTCAATTTATACAAATTATTTTTATCAATCAAAAACTTTTAAAAATGTAAAATCAACTTCACAGTGTCTTTATTTAGAAATTAGGATACACGTATCTTGATGAAGATGAAACAAAAGCATTCATTAAGAGTCTAGTATCTTGATGTTTGTTTTCCAGGTTTAGTAGACTTTTTAACTGTCACCCATTGAGTAGCAAATGTAAACATCATGTTCGCATGCCAGCTGGGCCAAATGTTTGTGACCAACAGATCTTTGGTAGCACAGACCACAATCATCAACACAAAACCGTTCAATGACTGCAATGTTGCCTATTCCAAGGAAACCCCACCAGGCACTCTGCACTGATGTAATTATGAAGGCTGGCACTGGCAGCCACTAAAGCACATCAGCTGGCACAAACAGAGGAGCTGATGAGATTATGTGGGCCTATGGCTATGTTCAAAGGA